TTTAAATTAGTAAGCATATGTTAACGAAATTTGGCAGATTATCAGTAAACATTACAATGCTTTCATGCACAAAATATCAATATGCAAAGTAATTTTCATTTTAAGACTAAAAATACTTTTGTAGATTTGACCGATCTTATAACCACCATAAAGAATTATAAAATAAATATAAATTATACCTCTTTCACTCTAAAATGACAGCATATTATAACACGAAAACATAAATGTTTGGACTAAATAGCTTAAATCTCATAACATTATACATTTAATATTTTTATTATATTGACCTTTCAGCTGTGCTTGGCTAACAATATAGAAGTTACAATGATGTGTGTTATCGTATCCAATAATATAAAATGGACTTTTAGTCTTCACAAAGTAACCTGTCTTGGCTGTGTTTTAGTAGACTAGTATTTTGTAAAATACAGTCACATTTCCAGTATTTTACATTATATATATGTATATAAATTATTGCTATTTAGAAATAAGTTCTTAAACTTATTTTTCTTAAACCATAGAACAGTAAATAAGAAAACAATTATCTCTTCTGGTTACGACCTTTGTACTTGGTTGCTGCTCGACTTAGGTTGCTAAGCCTTTTAAATTTTCGCACGTAGAAGATATGAAACAAAATAAGTTTCTTAGGTTTCATATATACAGTCGAATAACCAAAAAATCATATATTACCATATCAATACCGTAGAAGTCCACTATAATTTATCAAGCTTAGTAGCTAAGCTGTATTTTGGTCTAAAAAATATGAAATTTTGAGTAGACTAAAGAAACAACCTACCTTCTTGAAATCTTTGTTCAAAAGAATGAGATGGTATCCTAAGAATTTAAGATGGCTTAGAAAGCCTCTATGGGGACATTCTGAGCTTTTGATTGATTATTCATGTCATATATAGAATTAATTGTACATAAGGGAGCATTTCCAACAATGGAAATAGGTGAATGGGGGGGTGATTATATTTAATTACTAGTATATGAGAGATATCTTAGCAAATAGAAAATATAAAAGTTCTTATTTTACATTCTAGCTTGTCAATATCAGTAATTTGAGTTCCTATACACTTAGTATTTTGACATCACAAACATCTAATTTGAACCATTGCTGCAAGCAACATACCATGTGACACACAAAAATCCATATTTAATTGTTTTTTTAATATTTACTTTTAAATTAAGAAATTGAATAATGTATAATACTAAAATTTGAATTATAATATACAGTTTGATACCAAATGTATTGACATAAATTCATGAAATATTAGTTCAATAAAATTTTGAATGCGAGTCAACAAATGCAATAACATGGCCTATGACCCATGACCTGTCTGGAAAGAGATAATCAATTCAGCACTAAAGTATGGACCAAAAAAATAGGAAATTGTGAAAGATGCTTTTCAATAATCAGTGTCAAATCACTACTATCATCACTAGAGAACATTCATTGAAACATGACTTTAAGTTAGTCAAAAAGATGTAAAAGTTTCACTTGATCATTGTGTGAGATAGGAGCAAAATTACTTTGTCAACCAGATGAAGTAGAACCATATAATGAAATGCTAGCAAAAAGTGTTACCAATTCTTACTGAACCTTAGTTTGGCTGCATTTAAATGCTTTGCCTTGTGCATGCTGCTTAAGTTGTTGAATACCAGCTGTTTCACATGGTGTTGATTTGTTACACAAAACCAACACCAATGAACTAGCCAGAAGCTCTGATAATCAGGTTGGTCTTGCTAACACTGGCTAAATTATATTTTTCCTACAGGCATTCACAGTTTTATGGCCAATTCATAATTTCAAGATTTAATTGCTTTTTAAAAGCAATAAAATCTTATGTTGGTGAAACTAACTGTCACCTTAAAGTATGAGCACTTGAATACTGTGTGGGTAGATCAACCAAAACTGGCATAAATGTTATTAACCCTTTTCGCTCTGCTAACTACCAATATAATGCAGAAACATGACACCTGATTTCTCTATCAAATTTCAAGACCCTCTCAACAGCTAAGAATGAAACTGAACTTGTGAAGAAAAAAGAAGATACATTATTCATAAAACTCTTTTTCCTTTTCTAAACAATACACATTCTTCATTTCAGTTAAATCTATTTTAATATGTGATTTAATTTGCATTATGTATTGTTCATTTTCTTCTGTTATTTTTTGTATTCAATTTGTTTAATGGCAGGTGTTAAAAAGTTTATCACATTCTTGGTGTAATTATCATTGTATTTTTGTATCTTTAGTTTATGAAAGATGGAATTCTTAAATATCTATTAAATGTTTTAAATAATTACATTGTGTTGTTCTTTATAATTAAATTACATTTTATGAAAAATGAATTGATTACTAGTATACTCCAACAATTCAGTTACTCTAATAACTGAACTTGCCATGCATGTAAATCACTTAAGGGTTCACTAATCAAGTTACACACAATCACAAAATTAACAGTAGACATTTATTAGCTATGAATTAAATGTCTTGAATGGTAATTTATATTTAGAAACACAACATGATATTTGTTACGAGAAGAAAGGTTATTTTATAAAAGCAGACTTTCTTGTTAGAGTAAACATAGTAACTACTTCAACAAATTCAAAGTAATTTTCTATGATAATATGCTTTAAGTTTGCATTAGATTAAACTTGTTTCAATACAACAAATGATACAGATCCAGTTAACAATAATTGAGATAGAAATTTTCTTTATAATGAAGTAAAAAGTCTAACTTAATGAAAAGGAGCAAAAAACAATCCCTTCTGTTTGACTAAATTGGGGAAAGAAGATATTCATAATCAATACCTTACAACATTTGAAGTGTTTTCATCTTTTTTTTAAGACAATACATTCACTTTTTTTCAATTACACACCAGGTCTTGTGGCAGGTTTTCTCAGTGAAGTACAAAAGATTGTGTAGTTAGCTGAAACAACTTAACATCCTATTAAAAGAATGCCTACACACACACACAGCACGCACTTTCCTTCAAAACATATGAAAATAAAATACTTTTGAAAATATAGGTAAAGTATAAAAACGCTTCTGTATGTACCTATAACTTTTATAACATAACCCCACCTTGTCTACAAGTTAATATATATTAAAAGTGCTCCAACTTTCCAAATCCCTGACTTCACAAACTCAAACTAACATAACTTAATTATGTTCCAATTTTCCAAATTCCTGAACTAGCCACACTTCACAAACTCATAATCAAACTAGCATAACTTAATAATGTTCCAATTTTCCAAATCTCTCAGTAAACAAATTTCAACAGGGCTTTTGTTTTTGGGTTCCTGAAACTATAGAATTGCTTGTGTGCTTTTTAACATAAATGTATTTCTTAGCAATTTTGATTTTAAACTGTACTGATTGCATACACCTGGTCAAAAGCACCGTAAGCCTTAAATATCAAAAATCAAAGTATAAAAACACCTGGTAAAGTGTAGCAGCTGGCACGAGTAATTTACTGAATATATAACAAACTACACTGCAGCTCTAACTGAACAACATAAATAAAATAACATTGACTTAAGTAATTCCTGAAAAAATAACTAAATATGTTTTAGAAATGACATAGACCATACTATTATAGGCATATATCCTATCCATCATAAGTGCAGTAGTACTTATAGTAGGAATGGGGTAGATACACAATACATGCAATACAAACTATTTACTTATATACATATTTAACAATAAAATAATAAATCTTTAAAAGTATTTGAGAGACACCCTTAGGTCATAAACAAACCACATACAAAATTACACATCACAGAACCACTTCAAAAAGTCAGCAAAGCAGATACAAAAAATTCACAAAACCAAAAATTTCTCAATCTCACTGACTAAGTGACATTGTTGAATGCTTCTAGCTGTGTAACAAACAGACTTCCCATAGTTATAAGTGCACCGAACAGAACAATAGCACAGGGACAACGTGCTAGTGCTATCATTTTTCTACATCAAACATCACCAAATAATTCAATTAGTGAATTAAGTATATGCACACAACCACAACACACTACATCACCCATATGACATTGCACACTGTACAGTGTTTGCCAACAAATGTACAGCACACATGCATACTCACAATGTGTATACACACACACCATAAGTGAAGAGAATACAGGCCACACATACCATTATTTGCCCATACCATAAAATTATGGTGCACATCCATACTGGTTATATACATATAGGACATCAATACAAATGAATGAACAAGCAGAAAAAATATTTTAAAACAATTGAAAGTATAGAAATGTGTGCACCAAAAAGTGAAGAAACAAGGTAGAAATGGGCATGGCATAATAAAACTTCCTCTATACAACCTTACAAGAGGGTATGTCCAACATCAGGTCCATGCCTACTTCATTTATTCTTTCTATCCTGTATACAGTAAGTTGGTGAACCAAAATTATAAAACCTAGTTATGCTTAAAAAATGACTAGAAGTTTCTGTGCATCAAATTGTTGGAGGCAATACACATACTGTAAAATCTGTTTATACAACAACAGAAGAATCAGATATTTGTGTGGACCCATAACCTCCATGTATTTTTTCTTTACAACTTGTCCCTCCTTTGGCAATTGCATGAAAAGGCAACATGATTTCATAAATTAGCTATATACGTGGATTACAATACATAAATAAAAAATTCTAAGAGGTTTCTGTGTATCAACGTCATGGATTCATTACGGTCTATACAAAAGTAGAAGAATCACAGACACACTTCTTCATGCACCCATAATTTGTATAATATCATGAACACAGAAAAAAGAAGTAGGCATGAACCTGATGTTAGACACATACTCTTGTGAGGTTGTACAGAAGAAGTTTTATTACACCATGCCCATTCCTACCTTTTTTCCTCACTTTTTGGTGCACTCATTCCTACACTTTCAATTTTTTTTCTTCCAGTATCACACATGCCATCATACCCAAAAAGCACTAAATGTGCCTATCTGCTCTTCATTCTACATAAAGTAGACTAGCTGTTTAGAGCTTAGTGAGGTGATACAATTTAAAAGATAAAGGTTGGTAAGTTATTGGTCAATACTTTCTAAGGAGGATAATCTGGCAGTTTACATAGCAGCCAAAAAAAATACACAGTAAGTACTAACTTAGTTTTTGTTTAAATTTTACAACACAATAAGTAATACTAATTATATTATTTGAGAAATAATTTAGGTACACCACTAATATAGCCCAATAGTCGTGAAATCTTAAAGACTTGCACACACATGTACAAGTATTTACTTCTTCAGTATACTGTATTTGAATATATATAATTTTTCCTTTCCTAATTGTAAAAGAGCTTACCTTCAATAATTACTTCATAAGTACATCTTTCATCAAGAGGTCGATTTCTAAAAGATAAGAAACAGTACTTATAATGCCTATCTCTGTGATAACAGATTTAAAGATTGTAATTTGGCAAGAAAATGTTTTTAAATTTAGCAAAATTTAATGCTATTTAAACTTGTTTGAAACAGTAGGAGACACACGTAGTACAATTTTGCACAATAAATTAGTTTTTAAATTTAAATTTGAAAAGTAGTTTAAAGGTATTTCACTATATATACTACCATTTCAAATATGGCACCTCTACATGTAATTACCTTGGGGCATATAGAAAACCTTTTTAACACTGTATAAAACTGTATTTTTAAAAACATTAATTTGAGTAAAACATCTAACATACAGAATAAAAATCTATATATATATATATCTGTTTTTACACTTCTCTAAAGGACACAAGTTGTAATATCATAAATGTTAAAACCTTTATTTAGTAACCAGTCATATTTTCTTTTGCAATCATTTTATTTTACAAGCTGCAAAAAAATAAATAATTAGAAGCAATGGAAAATATTTTACTTGCATTTGAGTAATTCCAACCTGTAAATAATGATCCAAGCTTGGTTTCCCATCAAGGTTTTGGTAAAATGCTTAGAATCAGCAGATTCATTATTAATTAATTATAGATGATAGTAGACACTAGCAATTGGGTATTTTGTATCATAACGTTAACCACAAAGTTTTATGCAAGAACTTTGAACATCTTGTTTGTTAAAGTAACTATGACTCACACATGATAGTACACACTATTGAATAGGTTTTTAATTACATCATTATCACACAGTTTCGTAAATGAGCCTATAATATAATATTTGTTAACAACAATATAATTCACAAGGTTTAAAGCTCACACTGACCTTCATTTATTGCATGCTTTTATTTTCACTTGTTCCTAAGAAGTAAATGCATATGTATTTTAAACAGTAGTTGACCTTTGGAAGCAGCATGCTGTATAAAATTTACCATTTTAAATGTTACAGAATATTTACTAAAACACGCTGTAAGGATTCACAATGTGTTACTAAAATACAAGTATCTGGTTTGAAACTGGATAACTAGTTTTATTTACTTTGCATATTTTTTGTTTTGCTTTGTATTTTGTTACTGTAATCATTCCTCAAATAGTACCAGTGTTCAACAGCATGTTTAATCAGATTGAAATCCAGCATTTTGGGATAATTCATGATGTCTAAGAATACACTTGTAGTAGTTATATAGTAAAGACAGCTGATACAGGTATTAAAAACTTTTATTGAAAACAAAACACATAATAATGTTTTAACATGCTTAACTCATAATCATGTTAAAAAGTCATTCTTAGCCTGATTATGACCTAAGCAGGATGAAGCATTTTTACTTACTGTGTATTTTAGGGAGGTGATAATTGTCCCCAGTAATTATAGACCCATTAGTCTTACATCAGTTGTGGGAAAAGTTTTGGAAAGTCTGTAAAAGATG